AATTAAATATGAGACATTTTTATAACAATATTTTGAACGAATAATAGCTTTCGCTAGATCTGAGGATTTTCGATCTAACTAGAATTGAAAACATGAGGATATCTATAGTCTAGTCGAGAACCGATCAGATCTGATTTACAAAGCTTCCCGGTTCTATGAGCAGATTCTCTCTACACATAGTTCATTGCCTCTGCAATCTCAAACCTTAGTCTAGTATATTCTGAATTATATGACATAAACTATATAAGAAAGGAAAATTACATTATCAACAGATTGTTATTTCGGTAACTGTACAATTTTTAGTTGCAATTCAATATTAAGTTTATATTGAATGAGTACGATACATAGATGTAATAATAACGAAGGCGAGTATTCACTTCTGGAACTATCTGTATAAGAAATGTTTCATTGTCGTCTAAGCATATTTGACTTGAAGTCTGATCTGTATGTTTACTTAATTTTGAAACTTTATCTGAATAAATCAGAATTATTATTATAATAGTTGTTTCATGGAAATTTCAAATCAAAAGAATATTACTAGATCGAGTTATATACCTAATGATAATGACAAAAATGATAAGAATGATTATCTCTCGTACAATAGTTAAGCTACATTTTAGCATAATAATTATTCTAATAGGCCATTTGTATTTTAGTAAGAACATGATGTACATGAGATATTTAACGAACGATGCAATTAAATGAGATAAAACTTCTTGAATGATCAGTATATGACGGTGATTGCATTCGCTCACACAAATGTTCCTGTTTTGAGTTATTATAGACGTTCAGTACAAGAGCGGGATATCGTTTTGGTCAGTACGGTAGTATGACGAATGTATTTTGTATCGAAAGTTTATGATTCCATAAACTAAGAACCGACATTCAGTAAGGGGACACCTCCTATATCCTGATCGGTATATAAAACATGAAATTTCGTCGTAAAAACGATTAAGGGGAAAATGACGACATTTTGGGGTAAAATTGACTTCACCATTTGAAAGAACTTGAAAAACTACATCGGATTCTGTTGTGTTTGATCAAAAGTGCATCAAGCACCCAGCAACTATTTTTTCAAACAAAAACCTTTAACTAATTTTAGTCGACTTTATATTCCGGTCAGGATATAAAACATGAAATTTCGTCGTAAAAACGATTAAGGGAAAAATGACGAGATTTTGGGCTAAAACTGACGTCACCATTCGAAAGACCTCGAAAAACTACATCGGATCTTCCTTTTCGATGCCCACATATATTGAAACACAATTCTTTTCTTACGCGTCGACAATATATAAATATACGTGCTTTGTGTTTAACGGGAAATTTTCTAACTATCCGTTCTTGCAGATAAACTGCCTTATGTTCTTTGAGCACGCTTCAATTTATCAGACTTAAATTTTGTAACGATTGGATCCGTATGGTGTTTTTGCATTGATGTTTTGGGAGGCATGATTGAATCAAGTGAATTATTGATAGTTATAAGAAGACGAAAAAGAAAAGAACGTTACAAATGTATAGTAGATGAAACTACGCGTGGTAACGACTTTGTCTTCTATCTTCTGTTATATTTTATACTACACTCACATATGAAAGATGGCTAATAGAAGAAATCTATTTACGTCTGTTAAAACAATATATGTGTCTCTTCGATCAGCTGGAGAAAACAAAAGACACTATTAGGAACATTAGAGAGGGGGAATAAAGAAAAAGGAGAAGAATATTCAGCTCTCACATAATTAAAATTTATCATTTAATTTTCTTACAAATTAAAAATTAAAATTCTTGATATCCTGATTGGGATATAGATTTTCTTGATATCCCAATCGGGATATATATCTCGATTGGGAGTACATCCCGATCGGGATATGTCTCCACACTGATATTAATCTGCTATGGACTGATATTCTGAAAGTAAAATTATTTTTTTATGGATAATTTTTGATGTTCTACAGTAATGATGTCTATCATCTAATTTTAGTTATGAAGCCATTTGTCGTCCATTAAAAGCGTATTTAACACTTCGGCGTGTTCTTCAAATGATTGCATGTTGCTGGTTACTCTCATTTATCGTTGCTCTACCACAACTGTTTATTTTTGTTCATCGTCCTGGATCTAACGGGCAAGTATCATGTGATAATCAAAAACTTTACCAATGCGTTAGTCAAGGCTACACTGCCGAATGGCAACGTTGTCTCTATTTCACTTGGTTCACGCTATATGTTCTCGTCATACCCACCATTATTATGTGCATTTGCTATACAAGAATAATACAAACAGTCTGGTACCATGAAGGCAGGAGTACTAGCCATTACGGAACGACAACATCGTTCGATAAGAATTCAACGTTTCGTCGGCATACAGGCGGCGAAACAATGTCAAAAGCAAAAATAAAAACCATTAAACTCTCACTCACCATTATAATGACATTTGTTCTCTGTTGGACACCATATTTCCTCACTACACTTATTGAAATCTATTCAAAGAAGACAATTTATATTCCAAAACTTGTCTACAGTATCGTTGAAACATTATGTCTGCTACAGAGTGGACTTAATCCAATTATTTACATCATATTTAATTCAAATTTACGCAAGAAACGAATTCGCGAACAAAAGAATCTAACTAGTGGAGCAACAACCTTTACGTTTCCCACAAAACCGTCAGAAGTAACAATTACGTCAACTAGACGAAGACCGCTTTTGTCATCAACGTCTGACTCATTTGTGTCATCGAGCAAAACGGATATAGTTAGACGGAAAAAAGATGGTACTTTTGTATAGGCTTAATATATATTTTTCATTAAAAAAATAAGATTAGAAAAAGGAGTCTTAAAGCGGTCACATAGTGAAAGCTTCTGCATACGTAAATCACGAAATGTGTCTTGTCCATGGTCATGGGTATCCCTGAGTACGGACATAGGTAATGGGTATGACCGCAGATGTACAATTTTGAGACTTTCTACTATATTGAAACGCGAAATGAATTTTTTATCAGAAGAAGAGAAAAATGATGGAGAAAAAACACGTACTGCGTCTGAGCAAAATATTGCGTAATTGAATGAATTGTAGCCACTCGCTTTTGTTTGTTTTTAAAACGATATTACTATTCAGTAAAACCAAGACTATCTACATCCCAAAAATTTTGAGTCAAGTCGAGTTCAAGTAGGTTTGTAGACAAAGCTTTTCTGAACAAAAAGAGATGTTTCAACAACATTCAGATCAAAATTTAATAGAAGCTCTATGATTATACAAAACACTGATGCCACCTTTTCTGTTAGCAACGTATATCTTTTATCAGATCTCTTTAACGTTAGAAAAGATTTATTTTTAAAATTATAGCTAGACATACAAGGAGAGTCCAGTTTCTTCTATTTTTGTTTCCTTAAAAAATAAGATTTTCTAAAAAACTTTGAAATGATTTTGACGTATTTTCGAATAAAATGTTTACTTCAGCTTAATAAAACAAAAAATCAAAAGATGTTTTTTTGTTGTGTCATTCTCATTTGGAATCACCTCACGAGGGAACCTCTCGCGATGATAAAACGCTTTTTGATCGAAATCTGGTGAGCTATAGGTTATCGACCATGCTGATTCCGAATATGACCATGAGTTACCATTAGCCGATCGAAGATCCGGTTTTCTGGAAAACCAGTTTTTTAGAAACGCTAAAAAATAACCAAAACCTTTCTTAATGAGGCATGATTGCAGACCGCAAATTTCTGATTAAAATGAGACATCTCCCAGCTCTACACGACCTTTCTTTCCGAAGTTATAGAATTTACAACAGAAGTCCTAAAGTAATTTTTTCCTTCTTATATCTGTAGCTTTGAGCTGACAATGAACATTTAGGGCTTTTCTTGTAAATTCTATAATTTTGCAACGAAAGGTCGTGTAGAGCTGAGAGATGTCTCATTTTAATCAGAAATTTGCAGTCTACAATCATGCCTCATTAAGAAAGGTTTTGTTTATTTTGTAGCATTTCGGAAAAACTGATTTTCCAAAAAACCGGGTCTTCGATGGACTAATGGGAAGTCATGGTCATATTCGGTCATATGGTGGATGCCTCAAAATCAGAAAAAATTTCACTTGAGCTAAAGTAGAAAGAAATCAAAAAAAATTAAAACACAACCTACAACCTAACCTATAGGTTAGATTAGGCTAGGTTTAACCTGCAGAGCTCTGAATTACATATCTCCTTCTCTCTATCTCATGTGGTCATCCATGTACTCTTCTGATTGTTCTACTGAAAAGAGACTTGTCACTAAGCAAAATTTTTCTTTCGTCTTTCGTATTGTCTCCATAGACTAACAAAAAAGAACTTATAATCAATTAGTTGTATGAATACAAACACGATTACGAATAGACATGAAAACTAAGAATATTTCAAGCAGAGGATAATAAATGCAATTAACCTTTCTTTGAGCGGTATAAAATGCTTCTAATATGCTTTTTTCCTGCAAAATTTTCTAATTATCAGCTAACAGGGCCAGGCCCGGTCAAACTGGCCAGCTGATAAGACTCGACCGGAACCGAATCGAGAGGAGCTCCGGTCGCCCAGTCCAGTTGTAACTCCGCTATAATCTATGAAAATAATTTTCCAGTTCAATGTCTGTCTTTTTCTTTACCCTAAATTAAAAAATTGAGAAATGGAACGGTTTGTTAATCTAATTAGCTAATGAGGGTTGCAGAAATGAATATCAATTTCATATAGTTAGATAGAGGGAGAGTAGAGCTACATACTGATATAACTTATAATTAATTAGAACTTATCGTTAATAAACAAAATTTCGAATACTAACTCGTTTACCCCATAGTATTCCAGTATAAATGCGAAAATTTTTTTAGTGACCGTTTGTAATTGTATACACTTTAAGAAAATAAAAAATCATGAATAATGAAGTCTCTCCTCAAAAACAAAGTCAACTAACGCAGCAAATCAGTAGGTGCGCAAAACACTAAGCAATTTTTTTCTGACATTTACTCAAAAATAAAATTATTTGATCATTTATTTGTCAATCCTAATATTGTACATAAAAGTGCTTGAAAGAAAATATTGCCACCTGAAAAAAACAAAAACCATGATGCTTGAAAATCATCGGCACGCGAAAATAGAACCAAAATAACGTGTGAAACAACCCAAGCTAGTAGACTAATGACGGGTAAGATATAAAGGGCACCACCTCCACCCCTTCCACTAGATACAGCACCATAAACACTACAACAACATGCCAGTAGAACACTTAAGGCTATAATAATTGTCAAGAGTAATTGACTACGACGATTTGAACCAGTTGCAGATGTTTGAGTTTTTTCGTAATAGCCCCCATCATAAATCAAATTTTGCGTTTCACTATGAGTTCTACTATTCATTGACGATCTAGAAAAGAAATAACATTATTGAATCTAAAAAAATAACATCGTTCAATTACCATCCTGTTATTGAAATACCTGTACTGCCCTTCTGTTAGGACTAGGACCAGTAAAAATGATTGTAAACACAAAATGCAACAACCGAGTGAAACCCTATACTAGATGAAATAACCCATTTTTGATTATTTTCATCAAAAATTAAAGAATTCATAACTCAGTCAAAATCCATCCAACCTGCTTCAGAATGTCAGGAAATACTCTATTTTATTCGCTCATTCTGATTCTGTACGTAAAATTAATAAAAAATATTCTCTTAGTTTCGAAGATTTCTGGGAAACCTTTCTATTTTTTTTTTTTTGATTTTGAAGATGACGCATAAATCCAGTTTTGTAGAGGACAGTTCGGACTATAAACCCATCGTAAAAAATTTGTATATTTCTATGCCACTTCTGGAAGCTACGACCTGATTTTTCGAAGATCCTCTGAAAATCCAACCATTGAAATTTTTTCAAAATTATTTTTGGTTGTGCAAGATACATATAAGTGTTGGCTATCGAATACCGGAAACCGCAGGTCTCTGCTTCATTTCTGCCAAAAGTTATTCGAAAAGCAACCGACTGTCTTGTATTTTGAAGCCGATATGAAAAGTGACTAAAACTAAGAAACGACAGTCTTTCGTTAATGAACGAATGCTATTTCACTAAATTTTTTTCTATCTGATATATATGCCAATTCCGTTGAGCAATATAATAGTTTGGAAGCTGAGTTTCTCAGCTACATTTTAACCTATTGAAAAAAACTGCTAGCAGGTTGACTGGTGTTCTAATAAACCTAATGCTTTTATTTGAAAAACTATACTTTTTCTTTCCTAAGTTGACGAATCTCATCAGAAGATCTTACAAAATCTAGCAAAAACGTCTTTGTTCATGTGACACGTACTTCTAGGAACATCAGAAGATCACACAAATATTTAAAACATTTTATAGGAATTTATCTAAACATTAAAGCTGATGGGACTCCTTTTTGCTATCGATCTTCTTTATTTTTCCTTTTATTGATATTTTGTAGTATACGTTGTATCCAGACGAGGATCGTGATTAACCACAAATTTTCGATGCAAAAATTTGAGAAACTCAGTGCGTAAAAAGAAGACCGAATCTATTTCGTCTGGTTTCCGGGCCTGGTTAGGTATGTATACCTTAATAGACAATAGTGCAATAACATCGAAACTAAAAATCTTTATATTGAGGAAAAAAATGAAGCTAGGTATTACATATAAGAATCATGCATCCCCACCGTTAGCTGATGGGGAAAGCTAAAGAAATTCTTAGTTTCTTCCTACAAATTGATATTGTATATATATATATATATGTATGTATATGTTGTAGACAAAACTGGAATATGTATGTACACACATGCTGAATTTCAATTATGCCCAGGCAAAAGTGGAATTCCAGTTCTGACCAGACATACTCTAGTGATCGATTGTTACGGAAGTAGGAACACATGAGAGTGATGCCTGCAGCACCGTCCTCGCCAACAAAAAAGTTAGCCGATGATAAAAATTGTGACTGTGAGCAGATTAAGAACTGGAATCCCGCTTTCGTTTGAACAAATCTAGAATATGGCTAAATTCCAGATTTCCTTACAACATATATATACAATATCGATTTAAAAGATGAGCTAGCTATAGCTCAACAATCTGTATCGGAAGATTTAACAAAACCATGTTTGCCTACAAGACTTACTATGATCTAGTTATTCCTTGTAGACTGATCTTGTAAGTTTTCACAACAAGAAGTTCTAAGAATTAATATGATCTCACATACTCGTAAGTCAATATTTTATTAAATCAGATCAGAAGATCTTATTATAATATTTTGTAAGAAAATAGCAAACCTTGTGGATCTTCAAGAACGTATTTCGTCTGTGTTCTTATTTACAGTTTTACAAATCATCATCGTTTTAAAGCATCGGATGGTGTATACAAATAATTTGAATGCCTACTGTAGCTATGTTAATCACAAAATCAAAAAACTGACGATTTAACGTTGGCAGTAAAATAATAACATGTGATAAACATACAAAAAAAATTATGAAATAAAACAAAGAAATTCTTTGCAATATAACAAGATAAGAAAAAATGCATTTTCAGGTAGAATAGAAGAGTGTGAGTCAACAAGAGACTTACTTTGTACATAACGTAAGAATCTTCATTTGCATATAATTTATAAAATGTCTGAATGAATCACTGTCGCAGCATAACTCCGAGCATTTCTCGTAATCGATTACTGATCAGTTTTGTTTTAATTTTTCCATTTATTTCACACCCAGGTCCACTCACACGCTCTATCCTTGGCGTGGCCATACCTGACACGGAGTGGCCATGTACGGCGTGATGTGGCCGTACGTTTATCCATGGCGTGGCCACTGCAAGTATATGAATTGACTCACCCACGGCGTGGCCACGCTAAGTAAGACGTCATGTGACACGCGTGTTTAGTATTGTGGAAGAAAACCATACAGTTCAGATAAAAAGATCTGTAAACCTTTTAGCTTTTCAGCTTGAAAGTCGCACTTGATCGTTCAACCAGTATAAAACTATGATATGATGATTTTCACGCTTACAATACATTGGTGGTTAAAGTACTACCTATTGGTTTGATTATCTACCAGTATATTTAAAGCGCGTACCAGATAACTGTAAACAAAATATACTTTTTCTTATACACCGTTCTTAGCCTATAAAAACTATACGTTTTCTTACAAAACCTTTTTTAGCCTATAAAAAATATACTTTTTTCTTATAAACCTTTTTTTTCTTCTATACACAAATAAAAAGAACAGAAACGATCTTTTTGTTATTTTTTATACAAAAGAAAAACAATGACTATTGTAATCCACTACAAGGAAGAAAAAGCAGCAAGTGACTTTTAAGAGCTAATTTGCACCGTACCTTGATTTATACTGAATCCTGTACAGATGGATCCATTTACTATTCTACAAATGGCGTTTGGACAGCGTAATCGTACCCTGAGTAATTCCAGTAACGATGATGTTGATAGTATAGATCGAAGAAAAGTTGCTCGTTATCGCGAAAAAGTGAATGTAGAATATGATAATCCTTGTTTGACGAAGACTGATGATTCACCTCTGCTAATGATGGAAGAAAATTCATGTTTTGAAACCGGCCAAGAGGATGAGACCGAAGGAGAAGGGCGAGTGGAGGAGGATGGATGGGTTATTGATGGGGGAAGTGCTGTCGACGCTGATATTAGTCTTAATGCAGGTGATGACGAAGAACACGATGAACCTGAAGTTTTTCTATATCCATCAGCTCCAATTACTAATCAATGCTGCGTATAATTTTTTTATGGTTCCTTAAGAGATTTGCTAGCTAGTCAGCAGCCATTGGTTGATTTTTTGCAATTCGTGTTAGAACGGGTTTGGTGAGCTGGTATTCTTATTTTAAGGGTTTCATAACTCGAGAAGTTTATCTTAAAAAAATGGAAGCATCGAAACGCAGAGTTTTTTGTTGAAAATGAGCGGTGGCTTAAGATATGGAGACATATAAGCGTAATGGCGTGAAGAATATAAGAAAGACAAAGAAAAACATAGCAAACCTTCCATTTTTTATCCTCGTCATGATGGAAGTGTGAAGAAGTTTATGTCTTTACACGAACGGAAAATGTGAGAATGATTTTTTTGAGAGGCTGAAGTAAGAAAAATAACCGACTTATCTTCAGATTGTATTGACAAGAATCTTAGCTCGTCGAGAGTTAATGAAATTCTGTGGTCGCTACTGTCTCCAATAGCAAGTAAAGCGATGAGTCATGTTGGACGCAGCATCGACTATACGGTATCCGATGCTTATAAAGAACTAAAACGATTTGTGTTGACAAACCCAGGTGATTTTTCTGCAACATAAATCTGGAAAAATCTTTGCAGTAACTTTGCAGATTCTGCAAAGGGATTCTGCAGATTTGAAGCAGATCTGCATTGCAGATGTGCCAAGATTTGACCAAA